TTGTGTATTGTTTGTTTGTCTTTTTATCCCGTTTGTACCTCCTTTCCCTGATTGAGTTGTGAGCCGCCCTGAGTCCCCTTCGGGGAAAAGGGCAGCATATAAATGAAATTAATCCTAATCCTAATCCTAATCCTTGCCCAAAGCTCCTGAGATCACACCACTGAAAAGTATTTATTGTTATCCCACCTTTATTATTTATTATAAATAGCTCAAGGAAGAAAACATACCTAATACTCAGTGGTGGGTTCTGGATCCCATTCCAACCGGTACGGTTGGAACGGGCCTGGCGTCGTTCACATGAATGCACGCAGGATGCATGCATGCACTGCACCTGCCAGCAATGCCTCCGCAAGCCTACGCGATGCTCTAGCTACTCAGCGGAGCAGGCGCTGTACGTGCCATGCGCGTGAGCAGAAGCGCCGAAGGCTTTACAGGACAGGAGCTCAGGCAGGCAGGTGGGCCCTCCAGAGCACCATACCAGAACAGTACTCAGCACTCCGGGTAGGCTCCAGTACGCCCATACTGGGACATACCACCTGCAAACCACCACTGCTAATACTCCTTTCTCCTCCTATTTTCTCTCTACAATCAATCCTGTGAGGTGAGTCAGGGTGAACAAAAGTGATTGACCCAAAGTCACCAGGCCAACCTTCACACGTAAGAGTGGGACTAGAACACACAATCTCCTAGTTTCTAGCCTGGTGTCTAAACCACTAGACCAAACTGGCTAGCAAAATTGCTGATTTTTCACTTTCACTTTGTTTTTAAAGTAATGTTTCAAATAAATGTATTAAAATCTACTAATCCTAACTTATTTATTATTACTATTTTTTTTTTAAAAAGTCACAAAATTTAAGAATTAAGAGTTTTATCACCCGCACAAACATACACCCTATGATTATAGCTCAGAACAGTATAAAGCAGCTTCCCGAGTGTTTAATTATACTTCTCCAATACCCTGGTTAAAAAAAAAAACCTTCTCCGCTACCTTGGTAAACAAAACCAAGGTATTATCTCAGGATAACTATTTTTATGATTGTAAACTTAATTTTTGGGTGCCATCTAGCAACTCACAGCATAAAGTAAAAATCAAATTAAGTATTCAAATTACATGCATATAAATATGGATTGCATGTTTATAAGATAGACATATTTGAAGAATTCCTTACAAGAAAAGGTGTTTTTTTTTCAATTTTTCCAATTTGAAATATTTTTGCTTATGAACAAACACAAAGAAAATATAATCAAACTGTCAGGCTTGGATGTCATCTTGAGGCCCACTGTAAAAAAAATGGCTTCCAAGCCTTACACAAATTGATTAGAAAAGTGAGTTTTCCTGGATCAGGCCAAAAAGCCATCTTGTTTGCCATGCAGGCTAACTGGAAGCCTTCAAGAAGTTTAAGGCATAAAGCAGAAGTGGGAAACCATAATCCCTTTATGACTTATGGACTTCAACTCCCAGAATTCCTGAGCCATCATGACTGGCTCAGGAATTCTGGGAGCTGAAGTCCACAAACCATAAAAGGGCCATTGTTCCCCACCCAGGCATAAAGCATGCAATTTTCTTGTGTAGTTACCCCTAAACTCACATCAAATATCATTTATGGCAGCTGCTGGACATAGCTCTTTGGAAGAACCACCAAAGACTGGTAGAGGACCAGCTTATTTTCGACTTTAGGAACTGGATGACATTCAGGAACTACTAATGACTACTTGGATATCCAGTAAAATAATTTTAAACTTCTATTTAAACTCCTTAACCTGCATTGCAACCAACTGTTCTCCATTATTTTAAAAAAAAGAAAAAAAAGCAAATTACTTAGTCATGTTTCGTGCCAAGAAGTCCTTCCTACAGATTTCCCCCATTCCAGGAAAATGGTTGATTCTCTGGTAGAAAACAAAAACAAAAAACAGAAGACACACATTAGATGGGAATTTCTGATATAAAGCTGATACATATTAAAGCTGAAGATGAGTCAATAACTCTAAGTGCAAGATAATATTACTAAACATGTTCTGAAGCTTCAGACATTTAGTAAATAGTGTATTGACCAGAAATAAGTACAGGTAATGCTCACTAACCAACTTTCTCATTTAGCAACTATTCGAAATTACAATGGTTTAAAAAAACAAATAGCTTTGCGTCCAGTCCTCACATTTATGACTGTTGCAACATACCAGTCTTCTGAGCATGCTTTGGGTCAGAGGTGAGCTGCACTTATCTTAACAATCAGTTTGCTGGCTGTGAGTGCATGCTTGCCCACATGCCATCCACGCATGCATGCGACCTTCCATGCATGCGTTTTGCTCGCGCATGTGCCTTGTGCGCATGTGTGCGGCATAAAAAACAAGGCTAAATAGGACAGTATAGCGCCGGAGGGGAGGCAACCGCATGTTGCAACTAACAGTTCGCCCCAACCGGTCCAAACCGGCAGCAGCCCACCAATGTTTTGAGTGCTTTGCAAGCAGCATGCATTTGTAGCCATCAGTGTCCCACAGTCGTGTGATTGACATTCTTGTGCTTCACAGCTTCCAACAAGCAGTTAAGAGAATGTGAAAGTAAAATTGCAAAGTCATTAGCATGTGATGTCTTGCTTAATGACCAAATGGGAAGTGATACCGTAAACCCACCATGGTCACACAATCTTCTACTTAGCAATTGCGAAGCTTAATGGCAGACTTGCCAGTCCAAATTGTGGCCACTAAGAGAGCACTCTCTGTATGGGCTTCTTAGCAACCTTACATAGAAAGTGATTAATATAATGCAATGTTTCTCTTTTTCTCTTCCAAATTTAGGAATTTGGTCCCAGATCACTGAAATCCTGAACAAACTATCATTTTAGGAACACAACGGCTCTTTGTTTCTTACTATTTTAAAAAAGAATCAGATTTGGAGAGAGGGGAGGGAATGCAAAGGAAGTAAACATATTGAAATATACTAACATGGCAAGTGCTTTGGTTCAGATATTTCACTGGTACAAGTCCCCCATCCAAACAAGGGCA